TGCTCCAGCCTACTTTGCTCTTTTCTCTAAACTCAACGTCCTTCCCCTCTTCCACCAAGAAACTTTTCCTTAAATACCTAATTGTGTCTCCTTCATCTAATTCTTTGTTCTGTTCAAGAAGGACAGAACTATTCCCTCAAACAGACATCTGCCTAACAAGTTAATGCATCTTATTTGTTATGTGTTTGATGCATTTTCCTTCTGAAGTGCATTTGGACAATTTCTGACCGGAAAGCTTCTTAACACAGTAACTGCCTGACAGTCAAGCATGGTTAGATCAGTGATTTCCAAAGGGCTTGCAGTGGCACACTAGTGTGCCGTGACAGTGGTGGAAGTATGTCATTAAAAGTGGGCTAGAATGGGGCTGAAGCCACACCAACCCAGCATGGAAAGAATGGGCCAACAGACCAGATCTGGCCTATGGACTAGCGAGCAAAGTGTGCCTCAAACTGAGCATGTTCCTCATTCCCTGCATTTCATTTGTCCCAAGAGGCTCAGCATTCCCCAAAACACCTCTCAAGAAATTGGACAGTGAAATCAAGCAGCTCCTGAAGAAGTGGATGTACTTCTAGCTACGTGGATGTACCTGCTGCAATGAGATCCTGCATATCCCCTACTGACAGGGGGATGCCAACATCTCCTGAATGGGAGACCTCTGTATTATCACCTGTGCCTTCTGCCTCTTAACTTTGTCCCAGCGACCTAGCGAGCAGCAACACTCCCAATGCCCTGAAGGAGACAACCAAGAAAAGGATCACAACACAAGGATCTGGCCACATTCCTGAGTGGGTCGCTGGAGGGTGAATTCAGCCCCAACTGTCAAATGAATCACTGTTACCCGCTGAATCAGGATCTGCCTGAAAAGGTTCCTGAAGGGTGCTGTGCAGGTCAAGTACTTCAATGACCTGAAGACAAAACTTGACCAGGGCAAAAATCTTTGAGGTCACCTTGAAGTGGGATGCCAGCAACTACTTTATGCCTTGAGGGAACTTCACACATGTTGCAGACTGGTACTTCATCCACTGGGCCTGTCCCAAACACCTCCCACTCAACGATGCCATCACTGCAGCCACAGGAGACCAGAAGTGCCGGAGGTCCAGCTATGAAAGCAAGACCCTGTGCCACATCCTGTTCAGCTGTGAGTCTCATGCAAGAGCCTGGCAACTCCACCACAAAGCCATGCAGAACCAGCTGGTGAATGCCATCTCACAACAGTAGCTGTGAACCATACCATTGCAGGCTGCAACAATCACCCCACCCCAAACACACACTGCTTGCAGCAGCTCATATAGGAGCAGCACAAATTTGTACTGGAGATTTTTGCCTCAAACGTGCCTGAACACGTACTTTGTGTGGGGCAAATTGTGCCACTTGGGGCAAACTGATCCTGTCCAGCTCCTCCCGGATCTTCAGCTGGGAGGAAGATCCCTGGACCAGGAGAAGGCATTTGACAGAGTGGATCACAGGTACCTCACAGGCATGCTGCGGGCCTTTGGCTTTGGGCCCTGCTTCATGCGGGCTCTCTAGGTGCTGTACACCTCTGCTGAGTGTTTGATCAAGCTCAGCTGGACCCTGGTGGAGCCCATCCCGTTCAGGAGAGGGATGCATCAAGGCTGCCTGCTGTCAGGCCAGCTGGACACCTTGGCCCTGGAGCCCTTCCTCGTTTTCCTGTGGAAGCGAGTGGCAGGGCTGATGCTCCAGGAGCTGGCGGTGCGGCTGGGTGTGGCCTGGGGGGGCTCTGCTCAGTGTCCCTCTCAGACAACAGGGGCTACTCGTTAGCCAGGTGGGCCTCAGGGCCCACGGTATTTTGAATGTTACAAATATAAAGGAGCTTCTGAGGCCCAGCCACTTGGTATCTGGGGACATTACCCCTTGTGCCAGCTGGACTGCTGAAGTAGCCCTAACCTGGAGTGGCCCCTGCACCCTCTACCCACTGTAGCAGTCTGGCAGTGGAGGCTGCTACCTGGCTTTGACCTGCTGCCACCTGCAACAGCAACCCCACAGTTCATCTGTGGCCCCATGGCTGTGCACCTGCCAGACCTGGACAGGGATTGTATGGCCATGACTGGTATGTGCACTGCAGCAGAGCCTCCTGCACCTCTGGACCAGCTGCCAGTGGGCTGTGGCTGCACAACTGGCTGTCAAGCAGCACTACTGTCATGCCTCCTGGTGCCCCTGCTCTGCCATCTGGACAGTTATTGCCCAGAAGATGTGCTCCTTGCAATGGCCCACTTTGAACTGTCAAAGCATGTCCTCTCGGTCCCAAAGGGCCAAGAGGTCAGCCACTTCGTCTGCCCTCCAGCTGGGTCCCCAGTGCTGGGTCTGAACAGGCTTCTCGGCCAGGGTCTTGTCATTTGTCTCACCAGCAGAGATCCTGGCGTTCCCCATTTAAAAATTACAAATTCTCTGATAAGAAACCCAAATTCTCTCATTAAAATATCCAAAATCCATGTTCTTTCATTTGGAAGACTACCAGTACCTCTGTCATCATAATAAAATGAATTCTAGATATGTATACCCTTTGGCATTTACTTTTGGGTTTTTTGTCATAGAAAAATCAGAGCTGCCTTTATCATCTTCATTCATCTGCGACGCTGAGCAGCGCTGATATGTCAATGCCGTGCCCCTGCCCTTCACTCTCCACCTAAAGTGCCCCCCCACCCAGACCCCTCACTCCGGACCTGCAGCCTCTGCCTGCCCCCACTAGCTCCCTCCCAGCCTCAACTCTGTCCCAGCACCAGGACGTGAGTCCAGCTGCAGCTATCCCACCCACTGCTTTGGGGCTCTGAGTAGTGCAAGCCCTTGCTGTTCTGCTCCCTGCCCCATGCTGTCCCTGGGAAGTCCTCAACTGGGGACTGAGCTGGGTCCTTTCCTCCGAGGCTGGCTTCCCCCTGCACAGGCTGCTCTAGGAGGACAGAGGGGCTCTAAGCCTGGCTCTGGCACCCTCTCCTACCTGGAGCACTCCCCCACCCCCAATCCCCATCTCTCTCTCTCTCTCACACAACCCTGCTGCCACCTCCACCCTTCCCAGCCCATCACATCCCCAAAGTGATTCCTAGGACCAGAAGCCCCAACAGGGTGGGTCTGCAGGTCCCAGCACTGGGGTGGGCATGAGGCAGGGCTGCAGGGTGGCAGGTGCCCCTGCAAGCCGCAGCTCCTGCCAGCAAGTCCCATCCAATCCCATGTGGCTGGCTGGGCACACAGGGTACGAAATTTGTGGGAGGATGTGGGGAGAAGGGGTGTGCGGGAGTTTGGGGTTTGTGGCTGGGTATGTGGGTAAGGGGCTTGTAAGGGTAGTTTGGGGGTGTGGGGTTTGTGGTTGAATTGTGGGGGGGAC